AAAAAAAAAAAAAAAAAAAAAAAAAGACTCTTGTAGATAGAAATGCTATATTGCCATTTGTTCATTTGTTTGAACATTGATTGTACTATAGTTTTGCAAGATGTGACTACTATTGAAGGAAAGTGGGCAGACAGGGTAATAGATTTCATTATTTCTTAAACTGCATGTGATTCTACAATTATCTAAAAATGAAAAAAGTGTTTAAAAAAATAACCTAACAAGTGCAGAAGGAAAGGGTCTTAACTAAAGAAGCAGTACAAGGCAGTTATGGTCAAGAAAAGAAGTGAGGGGGAAAAAAGGTGGAAGAAAAAAGAATAAAACTGAGAGGAAGGGGAAGAAGAGGGGGAGAGAAAGTCATATGTGACCGAGTTCTTCTGAGGAGTTGAGAGGTTGGGATAGCCCCTCAAGAAATGCAGGCCAAGCCCCCCAGAGCTGTCCACAGGCTCACATCTGGGTCACAGCTCACATTCTCTACTTGGCCTTGCTAATCTCCCTTCAGCTGCCTGTGTCTAACCTGTGCTCTTGTCTCTAGGCATGGAGATCACTAACATATGTTTTGCAAAGCCCCATAGAAGCCTCCTGTTTCCTTGTGGCAGAGTCCACCTGCCCCCTGTGGCCCTCTGGGCCTGTCCCCAAGGCTGTGACTTATTCCTGAGTACTCTGCATTCCCCTAAGGGCAGGGCAGGGCAGGCAGCATGCAAACGAACCAATCTTCAACCTCAGGGGTCTCTGCAAGGTCTAGCCTGTGGGAAGAGCTGGACATACTTTCATGAAAGAATACTAGGGCATTTTGTGTTCATCTAATAAGGGGTCCTGGGGGGGGGTCACCTTCTTGAAGCAGGGCAGCACCTCATACCTTTGCTCTTCTGTGATTGGGTCAGTACTTGGCTCAAGTTCCAAGTGTTCAAGGCCCAATCTGTCCAGTGTGAGTGGGAGGTGGCAGAGTCTGAGAATAAGACTCAGGCCCAAGTTGGGCCCCAGCTACCATTTGAGATACCCTAGGCTCTTCTCCTCTTTTCCTTTCTGAGCCCCAAAAGTGATGATGTAGGATGATGGCACTGGGGCCTTCCTTACAGTAACATCAGGAGCGTGAAATGCAACAGAATATAATAGGGAGGGGTGAGATGCATACCAGCCCCAACAAATAACTTGAAGGGATGGGAGTGAAATCACAATCCTGATCTTCCTGCCCTCCTCTGATGTTCTGTCCCTAGACTTTCTGGCCACCCTATTGGTTGATACATCTGCCAACTGGTCAGATTATCCCTGACCTTTGACCTCCACCAGCACTGACCTGGAATGAAAATGGAACTTAACATTTAAGCCCCAGCCAGGAACTCCAGGGTCACATGTTAAAGGTTTGGCTCTGACATTTAACTTAACACGGCTCTTGGCAAGACTTACTGGCATCCTGGGCTCTCAGGACTAGAATAGCTCCCTTATCAGAATGTCAAGGTAGGAGGGGCCAGATAGGCTGCACCAGCAGCCACATCACCCTTCCATGCCTCCTTCAGGAATGGGAAGCTATCTACTGTTTTAAAATTATTTCAGGGGAAGCCACTTCACAAGTCTTTTTGAAACAATGCATTCAGGTATTTTTTATTCAAATGCCTCCCTACAATACTTTATGCCTCAACTCCCATTCTTCTTGTCCTTAGGGGGGAAAAAAAAAAACAAAAACCAAAAACCAAACAAAACAAAAACACCAGGAAAAAGTCCTCCATGGCTGACAATTGTCTCAGCAGTGCTCAGACAGTGGGTCTCCTCTTCAAAAACGCCACCAGCCCCCAGTGACTGCTTTGTGGCTCGTGCACAGTGAAAAGTTTAATCTAAAAACAGCTCCCTTGAGCTACCTAGTGGATTCCTGCCCCCAACCCTTGTAATTTCTCTCCATCATCTTTCCACCCCCCCGCCTAAAAATTCAATCAGTATTGGCTCAGAAAATGCAAGCAAGCTTTTGCTAACATTCTCCTAAATGGAAAGCATAACCCTGCCCAAATGACCACATTCCAAGGTCTTCAAAAATTAGTTATTCCTGGTGCATGCTAGGCGACTGTCTAAGTGGCTGTTGAACTGATTGAAAGATGAAAACCAGAAGTAGATGCAGTTTTCAAGAGCAGGGTGGGCAGCACAGATTTTGGTGGCTTTGCAGGCAAAATCCTGTCGTTTTAAGAGCAAATGGGGACTGGAAAATGGACACTAGTCATTTCTTCCCCTGCAGGGGTTGCCTATATCAGAAATGACCAGGGCAACCTTAAGGGTCTCAGAATTCCTGACAAGAAGCCCAGTCAAGAGCTTGTAGAAAGCTCCCAGGAGGCCTTGCTAAGAACCTTCTACTAGAAGCAGCGGGGCCAGGAGAGCCCTGTGACAACCACACCGATGTATCTGCCTGAACCTGCAACAATGGGAATATGGGGAAGACTCAGGGGACCCATGTGTGGGATACTGCCCAGATCTGACTTCAGCCAGGAGGCCGCTCTCCTGTGGGACAGCCAGTGCAAAGCGAGCAATATGCCCACCCTTTTCCTGGCCTCCTCCTCCAGCAGAACTGCGTGCTGATGGAATACTCATTTTCTGCTTAATGCAGACGTGCTACTTAAGTAAGAGATGCTGCCTGTGAGGAACACCAGCAGCACCTAGCAGCTCTTGGAAGGGCTGTGCCTTACAGGTGTATTTCCTTTCTGTTGGAGAGCTGAGCAGTAAGTCCAAGGATGATTGCTGGGCATTGTGGAGCATGCAGGCAAGTTCTCCAGGTGAAAGTTCCTTTCTTTCAACAGTGGCCCTGATGCTGAGCTTCCGAGAGTATGCCCCAGGAATCCTGCTGAAGGCCATGCCTCACATCTCTAGGCAAATGATGCATCTCAGTGGGCTCAGCAATCTGAAATCCCAGTGAAACCTACTGGGCTTTTCACTTCAGAGCCCAAGTCAGGACTCTTCTCTCTGACTCTGGATCATTTACTGCTCTGTTCATCTGCCAGAGTCCAGGACAACAGGGGATGGGAGTTCCACCTGCTTCTAAGCAAAAGGCATGGGTCAGGCTTTGTAGGGTGCTCTTTGATAATGGAAAGCCCCTCCTTTGAAGCCAGAGGACGGGAATTGAGAGGATGATAGCACTGCCCCTTTGTGCTCCCAACTCTGTCTGTCTCATCTATACAACAGGAGCGCTCACTCTGCCTCACAGGAATGGTGTGGGGTTAACTAATGCGGAGGCTTAGCTCAGCACCTGGGCTCCATAAGCTTCATTTCTTCTCACTGCCTCTTCCTCACATGGGAAAGTGCCCCAGGAACCAGCAAGCCCCAGGATTCACAGCTTGCTTATGATGAAGGCAATAAATGTTTTGCAGTCAGACACAGGTGTGAATCTCCCTTTATAGGCTATGTAGCTTGGGCAAGTAATACAGCCTCTCTGGGCTGCTGTTTCTTACCTGTAGAATGAGGCTGATAATCTCAGTTTCATTAAAAGCATTAAAAGACACTAAAGTACTTGGCAAACATGCATGTTCCCAGTGATCATCATCCGGTGTTTGAAAAGGCTCTTGGAAGAGGTGCTGGGGTGTCACTCCACCCTCATCCCCTGTTCTGGGGGTTCTGGAACCAGACAGGGTCTGAGCAGCCAGCCCTGACACAGGTCTGTTTCACAGCTAGGCCAGGAGAGTCCTGTTTGAGGAAAAGCACAGACTGAACCAGGGGTGCTGGGAGCAGCTATCCAGGGAGATGCACCAGCCCTGGCCAGGAGAAGGGGTTGATAATGCCATTCCTCCCCAGTTCCCATCCCTGTTCTTGGAGTCCTGACCCCTGCCCTTTCAGACAGAAAGAAAAGAGACTTCCAGACAGAGAAGAGGCAGAAGTAACAAGGCTGCCTTCCCAGTTTGACTAGACTTAGAAAGGAAGATTAAGCAAGGATCCAAGGCTAAGGGAATCAGCACCTCCACCATGCCCCTCTCTGCCCTCCCCCAAGGTAGAACTGCTACCCAGGGATCAGTGTCCTTCTGCCTGCTTCAGTGTTTTAGTGCCCTGGCCTCTCCAACCAAGAATGAGGCACTCCCCAACCCAGGGCAGCCTCTGCTGGCTACAGACATCTCTAATTTCCTGGTGAACTTTGGGCTCTCCCTGAGCTTTTCCTTCTCTTCAGACGAGTTCCTTGGGAAAGGCTGCAGCCAGGGTAGTGCCCTCCCGCTGCCCCCTTCAAGTGTCCATTTTCCCTTCCCAAGAGCTGGGGGAGAAGTGAAGCAGGAAAAGAAGAGAACTTACACGTTGAGATCGCAGCTGCCAAGTCCCACTGATGCTAACTTCTGGGGTGGAGTGTTTCTTAGAGACGGTGCAGGGGCCTTCAAGGCTTTTGGGGGACTCCTACCCGTTAGCGTCTCTCCCCGGTTCCGGGTCCTGAGCAGAGGCGACTAAAGCATCCAGTCCTCCGCTCGCCAGCCTCTCCGTCACTCCCCTTCTCCGGCAGGACGACGGGGGGGCTGGAGGCGCTTGCTTTTCTGTCTCTGCCTTCCTCCCTCCCCTCCCTCCTTCTTTCCTCTTGTCCCCCCACCACCCCCCAGGCTCTCCTTCCTCTGTCCCCACTACAAAGGAATCGCCGGATAGTACCGCGATTTAAAGGGCCACAGGCTAAGGCGTTGGGGCGGGGCGGGGTGGGGATAGGTTGGGGCCGCGTCTGAACCCAGGACGCCCTCCAGAAGGGCGGGTGCCCTCAGCCCTTGCCCTCCGCGCTGTCGCTGCTCCTCCCCGGGCTCGGCCACCTCCTGGCCGCACTGGGCTGGGTCCTGAAGTGCACGGTCCAGACCGATGCACGCGGGTGGTGAGCGTGTGTGAGCGCCCCGTGCAAGTGTGGGAACCCCTGTATGCGCGCGCGTGTGTTCCTGGGTGCGGCGGAGCAGACAGAAGAAACTCTTAGGGCAGAAAATGTGGGCTGGCTCGGCGCTGTGGAGCAGCTGCTGGGTCAACGTGCAGGTAGGGGTGGTGGGGTGGGGCGGTGTGCGGGAGAGTCCCCCACTGAAAGACAGGTGGGAGCGGTGCGTTCCTAGGCATGGGCGGGGCCGTCTGGCCATCTCCTTGACTTCTCTTTCGGGTTCCTCCTGGCTTTGACGAAAGACACATGAATCTATAATTTATGTTCTTAGGAAGTCATCCTGCTGCTGTCTGGGGGTGCTGGCAGGTGTCCAAGTGGCTCTTCTTATCTGGTGCTGTTACCTCTGGCCCCTCTCTGTCCCTAGCCTTTTGGATGAGCACCCCAATTCCAGGCACTGCCGCTCTCTTTCCTTTCTGAGGTGGATGGACATCACTTGCTGGCCCACGGTATCTTCAGCACCTCTGGTGTTCTGTGAGGTGAGTATTTATCTCCTGCATGCTGAGTACCAAAAGGAAACCAGTGTACTCCACTGTAAGGACAAACTGCTTGTCCCTGGGAGTACAGCAGCTTGCTGAGCCGCCACAGCTTTAAGCAGGCCTATCTGGGTTTGCCTCTTATCCCTCTGCCCTCTCTGTAGAGAGGTTAATTGCTAAGTATGGTTGCCACGGGCCCTGACTAATGAGGAAATCTCTGTCCTCCTGAGGAATGTTTGCTGTCTTAGTGCTCATCTGTTGTATGTTGGTTGATCTTAGTGTTTAACACTCTGAGAAGAAAATGCTTGATTCTTTAATTTTCTAGTCTTGGAAGAGGCCTTTGCAGTATAACACACCACAAATAACACACAAATGACACTGCAGATAACACACATTGAAAACATTTACTGGTGCTGATGAGATGCTCTGGCCTGGAGCAGCAGTGGCCTTTGAGTTTAGTGTCGTGCCTGTGACATGCCTTCTCTCCTGATTGGTTGATGTATCAGAGTTCAGGAGAATTACATTTAATATACAGGATAGTTTTCATGTAGGATTTACAAGGTAGGCTTGCAATGGTCACCTGCAGAGTTAGGTGTGTAAGAGCTGGACATTTAGTCAAAAGCAGGAAACCTGCAGCTCACTGCCCAGTCCTGTTGGAGTCTGTATTGAGAAGCCCAAGGGTCTGTGTTGGAAGGCTGGAGTCTGCACTGGAGGGGGAAGAGTGCACTGGAAGCCTGGTGATGGATGGCCAGAGATGATGGTGAAGACTGGAGCTCCTCTGAAGAAGCAGAAATGAGACTTGCTTCTTCCTTCCCTTTTTACTCCATTCAGGCTGCAAGCCTATTGGTTGGTGCCATTCACACCCAGGGTGCATCTTCCCTCTTCACTAAGTCCCTCATTCAGCCACACCCAGCGCTATGCTAAGCCAATCAGCTGGGCATTGTTACTCAAGCTGACACAACAGTTAACTATAACAGTTGACTCTGCACTGGAACATAGTGTGACGTGGGAAATGTTGCTTTGCAAATGTTCTTTCTGTGATGGGACCTTGAGCTACAAGACAGGAAATCTGTTTAGTGTTCAGCCTATTCCTGAAAGATAAGAAATAGGTGTATTTTAATCCCGATTGATTGTTGGAAATTTAGGGTAATCTTCACTCTCCTATGCTTAAGTCTCCCAAAGAGCACAGATGACACTTGAGGCGAGGTGACACAATTGTGAAACTACTTGGGTAGCTTTGGAAGGTGATAACTGCATCTTTTATTCTCTGAGAATTGATGACGAAGTGTGAGAAAGCAACAGAGAATTTATGTGTTTTATCACTGTTAATCGGTGTACAGACCACCTCCCCTTTCCCCTTTTATCTGCCTCTCTTACCTTCTTTCATGAAGCGGGAGACGAATTCACAATTAAAGTTTTCTCTTTAGAAAATGACACAGAAAATTATATTTTCTCCTATTTATAGCTTTTCCATTTGCATTTATGAAGTTGGTAATGTCTCATAAATATTTCCTGCCAGATAAAATATTAATTAAAACAGTTTGTTGAATCATATTCTGAAACCCTAACTAAATCTCTTCTAAGACTTATATTTTAAGTACTTTTTTCTTGTGCCAGAAGAATTCCTCATATACTACTTGTGTACGTTAGCAAGTTCATCTAGAAAGAGCAGCTACCTATCAGCTAATGAAATCTAATTCTTAATTATACAAAAATTATGTGACTACAAACCAAGTAAAAAACAAAACATTGGTGACACTGTTGAATCCATTCTATATTATGTCATTTTTTCCTAAAAAAAGAATCAGCAACCTGAATTTAGTGTTTCTGTTTCCTGTTTTTTTAATATTAAAACTATGAATCTCTTATTCAATCAGTGAATATTGATTGTTTATAAATCAGTTCCCCCTTAATATCAAATATAAAATTCCATTTTGAGGAGCACCTCCTACCTCACACCATGTACCTTTTCTGTCTAGGCACATGAATCACCCCCTCCAGGAAGTACAACCACACCACACATGTTTCCTACCTGCTCATCTCTTGGTAGCCACTGAGGCTATCAGATCGGCTGATGGATGTACCACTGTGCTAAGGTTCAAATAATCCTTATTTTATTCAATAGTGGCTCAAAAGCCCAGGAGTAGGGAAGTAGGCTATTCAGGTGTGCCAAAGAAAAGCTGTAAAGTATTTCCTTTAGATATATAGATGAAAGTTCTAAAATTAACAGGGAAGCATTGTATACCTAGGTTTCTATGGAATACAGTAAGAATGAAACTTAACCTGGGAAATCACAGAGAGAGAAAAAGTGATTTCTGCTAGTTTTGCTGTCACATTTAAACTGCAAAAGTGATGGTCACAGTATGTGGTCAGTGCCAGTTAGGATGGAAAAGACATTAAATCTGTGTGTATAGTTATTAGAAAAAAACAGCATATATAGGGTTTGATGCTATCCTGGCTTCCAGCATTTACTAGTCTTGGGCATATCCTCCACAGGTAACAGCTGCAACTTAAATATTTTTACATTCAGAAACTCTTGGTTTATTGAGGCTTGCTTATGTTTGAGAAGTTTGATAGGCACTGTGGCAGAAGCTCAAAAGCATAATGGTGGACTTTGATCAAAAGTGCCTCCTTTCTAATTGGGAAGGCCAGCATATGCAGAAAGAGTTAGCAGAGTAATTAACAATGTGGGGATTTAATTCCTGGGTGATAATTGAGTGGCCACTTAGAAGTGACAAGAAAGATAACAAAGCCTGGAGAAAGGAGCTGAGGGACGCCCTCTGCCTGGCTGCCAAAGCTGAAGCCAAACCAGGGCTGGGGACAGGATAAGCAGACAGAGAGGAGCAGGCTAGGAGCAGGCTCAGCAGGGTCCCTGAGTTTAGGGACGAGAGGTAAAGGAGCGCTGCTCCTGCAGGATTGGGAGTGGGGAGGCTCAGTGATGAGGACAGTGCCTGTCATTAACGGAGTGCCTACTGTGCTAGGTGCTAGGTACTTCTCAAAAGTAACTGTGATTTTCTTAACACCCACGTGACAGAAGTCTCAGACAAGCATAGTGGCTTCTCACTGGTGCAGTTACCACTATGTGAATTTCAGAGCTTCCCTCCGAACCTGGTTCTGTTGTATTTAAAAATCATATTTCCAATTGTTAGGGGCTCATTTGTGTCCCTCTAAATTCATATGTGTAATCCTAACCCCAGTATCTCAGTGTGGGACTGTGTTTGGAGATGGAGTCTTTAGGGAGGGATTAAATGCAAAGGACACCATCAGGGTGCACCCTGATCCAATTTGACTGACGCTCTTGTAAGGAGAGGACATTGGGACACAAACAGACACCACAGATGTTCAGGCCCAAAGAAAGACCATACCAGGACACAAAGAGAAGATGGTCACTTACAGGCCAAAGAGAGAAGCCCCAGGAGAAGCCCTCGGGCTTTCAGCCTCCACGATGGTGAGAAAGAAATTTCTGTTAGGTTCCCAGGCTGCAGCACAGCTTTAGTTAGGGCAGGACTGGCAAGCAAACAACGAACCTCCATGCCTCTCTACCTCTCAGAAGGACCTCAAACCCCAGCTCCAGAGTGGAATCTATTCTTCAGGTGCGAAGTAATTATTGTAGATTTCTAGGTTGGGGAGGATTAATCACTGTGGAAACTTTCTGTGGGGAGGTTTGTGTACTTTTCATTCATTTCTTTAATGCTACAGATGATTACAGACCCCCTATTCGGTGACCTCTGTGATCTCAGGAACCGTATTTGTCTTGTTCATCTCTAAGCCTCACTTGTTCCCTATGCTGCGCCTTGCCCAGAATCGAGCACATAGTAGATGATCAACAAATATTAAGAGTGGATGCGGGCTAAGTTGTAGGGCTGGGAAAGATGATGAGGCCACACAGATGTCACCTTCAAGGCGCTGACCGTCCGCTGAGGATGGTGGTCAGTGCACAGGAGTTCTGGGGAGAGGCAGAGATTAGCAAGTGGTGCTGCCCTATGGGAACTTTAGAAGATTGTCTTCACTCATTCTGTATAATGTGGCTCTTCACCATGTGAAATGTGGTCACTCTGAGAAACAGAATTTTAAATTTTAA